CTCCCAACTTCTTTAGCGAAGTCTCCCGATGGACACATTTTGACTGGGAACACAGAACTGGAGCTGTCACTCTTCGGACTGTTCTTCTGCAGGTTGGGGGGGCGGGGGGGAATTCTCCTCAGCTTCTGACCCTACAGCACAGGGCCAGGCACGGAGAAAGCAAGCGTGCGTGGATGACCGAGTCCGACTTCACTGTGTGTGCAGTCACACTGGCAGAGTTCTGGGCTCTTCTGCACATCCCTTTCTGTTTGCTTGCTCATTGTTTTGTTGTTTTGATGAAGCCCCTGGAAAGCAGGGTGTAGACAGACTACCTAGATTCAAGTTCAAAAGCACTATAAAGCTGCCCTTTAAAACCATCTTTTAGACAGGGTGCGGTGGCTCATGCCTGTAATTCCAGCACTTTGGGAGGCTGAGGTGGGAGGATCACGAGGTCGGGAGATCGAGACCATCCTGGCTAACACGGTGAAATCCTGTTTCTACTAAAAATACAAAAAAATTAGCCGGGCGTGGTGGCGGGCGCCTGTAGTCCCAGCTACTCGGGAAGCTGAGGCAGGAGAATGGTGTGAACCCGAGAGGCAGAGCTTGCAGTGAGCTGAGATTGCGCCGCTGCACTCCAGCCTGGGCGACAAAGATTTTTTACCCAAGGTTTTCCTAAAAGGAAGCACATTTTTTGGAAACATGGTACTGTGCAGGGGACAGGGCCACCTCTGGCACTGGTAGTGGGGCTCGGTGGGATGGGCTGTGTGCTTGTGGCTTGCCATGCCTCAGACTGCCTCTGCAAGGGCCTGAGCTCCAGGAAGGCAGCAACGGCAGAAGCCACCACATGTCCATGGAGCTGAGCTCCACCACAGAAGGCAAACCGGAGACAGCATCCTAGAGCTTGTGATCTGGCCAGGAGGAATTATACAATAAATTAATTACAATTCCAATAAGCCCTTTGTTTAAAAAAAAAAAAAATGCACAGGGCATATGATGACATTGGAAGGGGAACGTGAGCCAGTCTGGGGACTGGGCGGGAACATCTTGTCTGAGAGTGACCTTTGGGTGGAGATCCATGGGAAGGGGACATTTAAGGCTGGGCTGGGGGATTGCAGGGGAGAATGTTCAAAGTGGAGGTGACTGGATGGGCAAAGGCTTGAGCAAGGGCAAGCTTGAGGAGTCCAAGAACAAGAGAGGAAACCAGGGTGAGCACAGTATCAAGGGGAGCAGAGCGAGCTGGGCTGGAGTGGGTCAGGGCCAGGCCATGTGGGGCCTCGCAGGCCTCATGAAGGACTATGAGAATGATGTGCTGTTTGTTTTTATGAGATGGAGTCTCACTCTGTCGCTCAGGCTGGAGTGCAGTGGCGCGATCTTGGCTCACTGCAACCTCCGCCTCCCAGGTTCAAGCCATTCTCTGCCTCAGCCTCCCGAGTAACTGGGATTACAGGCGCCTGCCACCACGCCCAGCTAATTTTTGTGTTTTTAGTAGAGACGGGGTTTCACCAACTTGGCTAGGCTGGTCTTGAACTCCTGACCTCGTGATCCACCCGCCTCGGCCTCCCAAAGTGCTGGGATTACAGGCATGAGCCACTGTGCCCAGCCAGGACTGTGAGAATGATCTTTCTAAGATCCCTCTGGTTCCAGTGTGAAGATGGTAGGGGTGTGAGAATATAAAGGACAAAAGATGGCTGGGCGCAGTGGCTCACACCTGTAATCTCAGCACTTTGGGAGACTGGGACGGGCAGATCACCTGAGTCCAGGATTTTAAGACCAGCCTGGCCAACATGGTAAAACTCCATCTATACTACAAACACAAAAATTAGCTGGGTGGGGTGGCGCAAGCCTGTAATCCCAGCTACTTGGGAGGCTGAGGCACGAGAATCGCTTGAACCCGGGAGGGGCGGGTTGTAGGGAGCCAAGATCATGCCATTGCACTCCAGCCTGGGTGACAGAGCAAGACTCCATCTCAAAAAAAAAAGAAGACTCTTATCAGCTCAGCTCAGACACCCAGCATAGATTCCTCTTGAGGAGCAAATGTTGAAGACAGGCCTTTTGAGAGTGGAAGAGGCAAGACATTTCCCTTAGGTCCCACCCCATGCACCCGGAGTACAGTCACATCTGTGGCACACATTTGCTCACCTTCTAAGTGACTCACTCACTGTCGAGGGTAGTGATGTTGGAATTGGCAGGCCTGAAGGTTTTTCTTTAGTGTAATCATTGCTCAATTACCTTCACCATCTGTGCTGGAAATGATCATGGTGACTTTGTGTGATGACACCCAGAGATGCCCAGTATTCCTCGGTGTCCTTTCTCACCCTTTATTACAGCAGAGGCATCAGAGTTCAGGAGGCCAAGTTCTCACTTGCATCAACAGCGTCAACACATTGCTGCCAGGAAGGCGAGGTGGGGCGGAAGTGAGGTGTGAGCAGGATCTGTGAAGACCACTTGGGCACTCAGGATGGCGCAGACAGCAGGTCTGGGAGGAGAGCCAGAAGATGAAACGCTCAAAGCGCGGGCCAGGTTGGCAAGTGGGCTAGGATAGAGACCGGAAGCCGAGAGGGGTTAGGGGAAAAAATGGGGCCTTTCTAGGGAGGTCAGATGGACAGAAGGAAGAGGTTTAGCTACAGACAGAAACAGGCAGGGTGCTAGGACTGCCTCAGCACAGTATCACATCTGCAGGGTATTAACCTTTTGCACAAATTAAGATGCTGGCCAATTCATTCAGCAATTCTTCCAACAAATATTTAGTGAGATGCCAGATTATTGTGCCTTGGGGATACAAATATAAACAAAACAGTCATAGTCCCTGACTTTAAAAACTTTAGTCTATCGTGGCAAACCATCAGGCAAACATGGAATAGAAAACACAGGAATAAGGGTCAGTATAGGAGTGAATGAGCAGTAAGGGAGCACAGAAGTGGGAAACCTCCCACTACTGGCAGGTCAGGAAGACTTCCAGGAAGCTGCATGTAAACCAGACCTGAAAAATGAATGTGAATTAGCCATTGGATGGTGGGGGGATGGGTTGAGGTGAAGGTCACAGTCCATTTAAAGGTGAGGAGCAGTGAAGGATGGGGCTCTAGGTAGCCAGAGCTATACCATGAAGGGCTTGGCAAGCCATGCTAGAGTTTATGCCCCATCCCGAGGGCAATCCACAACTAGACCACAAACTCCACGATAACCAGTGTCTCCCCAGCAACCACACAACGTTTGACACATCATAGCTTAATACATGATATGTAAAGACCAAATGCCTAGAGGGACAGCAATGAGGTGTTGTGGAAGGATGTGCACAATTTTTTATTCCTAAAATTGAAATGTCTACTAATTATACAAAGTCTTTGGCTTCACATTAGAGATTAAAGACTAAATGTGCAATTGCTGGTCATGCTATTGAAGTCACTAAAAGAATTGTTTGGCCGGACGCAGTGGCTCATGCCTGTAATCCCAGCACTTTGGAAAACCAAGGCAGGCGGATCATGAGGTCAGGAGTTCGAGACCAGCCTGGCCAACATGGTGAAACCCCATCTTTACTAAAAATACATAAATTAGCCAGGCATGGTGGTGCACGCCTGTAATCCCAGCTACTCAGGAGGCCGAGGCTGGAGAATTGCTTGAATCTGGGAGGCAGAGGCTGCAGCAGTGAGCCGAGATCGCGCCACTGCACTCCAGCCTGGGCAACAGAGTGAGACTCCATCTCAAAAGGAAAAAAAAAAAAAGAAAAAGAGTTGTTCAAAATGTAAGAGCAGTTCCTTGCCTGTTTTGAGGAGAGTACTAGAAAGGGCGAGCGAGAGGGAGGAGTGTGGAAGGGAAACCCTGATGACTACACCTTTTAGCCCACGGCTGGAATTCTCTTCCTCTGCTGAGAAAGATCAAATAAAAGCTGTGCAGGGCAAAAAGACAAAAATGAGCCAGGCATGTTGGTGCGTGCCTCTAATCCCAGCTACTCAGGAGGCTGAGGCAGGAGGATCGCTTGAACCTGGGAGGCAGAGATTACAGTGAGCCGAGATCACGGCACTGCACTCCAGCCTGGGCAAGAGCAAGACTCTGTCTCAAAAACAAAACAAAAGAAAAAGCTGTGCAGGACAACATTTGCTGAAGTTTTTCATTGATTATTAAATTCCTCATCAGGGAGCTCTTCCATCCCAGCTAATTCACTGAGTAAGGTAATGGCCCTTTGTATTTAAGATGATGTTACAGGCTGTGATTAAAATTCATGTGGCTGAAAAAGGACAGGATGATCAACCTAGCAGACAAAGCTCCACAGCTCTCGTGTTTCTGTGCGACGTGTGAAAGAGGCACTCAGTGCTCTTTGTTCCAGTCTATCTTCTCCAAGATGTTTGCAGGGCGAACAGCCTTAAAAAGGAGACAGCGTCTACCTCTGGAGCAAAGGGCAAGCATGCTCAATGTCCATTATCAAAGATTAGAGTCTCCCAAACTCAGCGCTCCTCTCCTGAAGGCAACCAGTCATGTGTGCATCACAAGATATGGCAATGCACATTCATTGTATGTGAACGCAGGCATTCCTTCTGTGCCCATTATGTGCCCTTGGGACTTGGAGGCAAGAGAAACTGATGCAAACACACTGAAGTTTATACTGCCTGCTGGGCCATGGGTCATAAAATCCTTTGTCTCTGACCCAGGAGTCTCCTTTCTGCCAGCATCCATGAAAAGTGGGAGAGACTAACCTGTTAGCTTACAAGTAGGGTAAGATCTCAGACTCCTCACAGGGTAAGATCTCCAACCCTTCACAGTGCTTGGTACACCCTTCTTAGAAATAGCTTAGTTTCACATCTCAACATTCTTGGTCATTCCCAATGAATTTACCTAAACAACGTGGATTCTTATGGTGCTGGCTATAATATAGTAACTTTTTAAAAGACCACAAATCTAAAAGCCTCCTTGATACACTTCCCCAACAGATTACCTTCTAAAGGGGTAGTAGGCCTAAGATACAGTACTTATAACAGGATAGGAAAAATCCAAAAAGAAAACAAAACATAAACTGAATGCAGGAGAAATTATTTGAGACAGAAGCCAGTTTTATAAAACATAAATAATCATTTATACTCCATGATTAGCAATGGATCCTGTCTGAAGTAAACAAGGACAACTAATACAGTACAAGATGTTTGTGGTTTTGTTTTTTATAACCCACTAAGCTAAGATTTGTATCTCTGTATGGAACTGATTTTCAAATGGACAGAAATGGTCTTTGATCTTTCTGAACCACTTGTCTTCAAATTCTTCTGAGGATGCAGTCACCAAGGCAGTCAGGGCTACGGAGCCAACACACTTCACCTCTGGGTGAACTTCATCTTTTATTTTTTCTGGGATATCTTCTCCCATAACCTGTAACAGGAGGGGGGGGAAAAGAAAACTGTTCCAATAAGAGGCAACAGACATGGAATGCTAGTTATCAACTGTAAAGGCTTTCACTCAGAGGCAGAAAATAGCAGCCAGGGGACATTCCCAACCCATTGAAAAGATGTTTGTTCGGAAGCAGTTATCTGTCTACCGCCATACCACCCTGAACGTGCCCGATTCTCATCTGATCTCAGAAGCAGTTATCCAAGGAGAAGTAAAATATCCCATATTTCTACTCTCATTCTCCCCAAGTGAAAGAATCACTTTAGTACTGCTGTGGCAACAGTATTATTTGGCTTACCAGGAGTACTGAGTTACTCTTTTTGTTTCAAAGAGCATATTCTGTTGGTGAGAATGCAACTGTGGCATGTAGCTGGGCCCACCTTTTCCTGACCCAAAAGGACTCTAATCTCTCTATAACCAAAGCAATCTTAGGGATTTAAGGAGCCCGTTACCAATGAAGGTACAATACTGCCCTCTACTGGTCAGAATCAGGCCCAGATGAACACAGGGTCATGTCCCAAGATTCTGGGTTAGTTTCTTTGAGAAGACATCACAAAGTTAGGTTGTAGAAAGCTTGTACCTAAACCCACTAAGTAAGCAGTCTGACCTTGGGTAATGACAATGAACTAAACTTAAGTTCCAAAACATTTCATACTATCTGGCATGAAAGCTTATGTAGGTAGCCATGGAGCAGGGATGTTGTGGAGGGAATTTAAGTTCCACATAGATTTGCATTAGATAATCTCCAAGGTTCCTGCAAACTCGGATATGGAATGTGTTCATGAAAACTCAAACTATAATGAATTAAGAAGCAAGCTCAAAGAATGGTTTTGAGGACTAGGTTTACATCTTCAAAGGTTACATATTGTTTGAGGAAATTGCCAATGAGAGCCAAGTTTCACTAGGCAATAGTCAGTATTTACTAAAGCCTGGTATGTCACCAGTTCTAAGATACCTTTTTGTTTTTGTATTTTAACATCTCTAAAATCAAGATGTAGCTGAGCCAGGTGTGGTGGTTCACACCTGTAACCCCAACACTTTGGAAGGCCGAGGGCAGGGTGGTCGCTAAAGGCCAGGAGTTAGAGAGGGCAGCCAGGGCAACAGAGCAAGATCCCCGTCCCTACAAAAAAAAAAATATTATTATCATCATTTTTTTTGAGTCAGAGTCTCGCTCTGTCGCTCCAGGCTGGAGTACATGCCACTGGAGTACAGGTCTGGAGTACAGACCCCACCTCCAAAACAAACAAAAAAAAATGTATTTGATAACCACTGGAGTGAGGCTTTATGTGATACTGTAAATGGCATCTTTTTTTTTTTTTTTTTTGAGACAGTCTCGCTCTGTCGCCCAGGCTGGTGTGCAGTGGTGCGATCTTGGCTCACTGCAACCTCTGCCTCCTGGGTTCAAGCTGTTCTGCCTCAGCCTCCCGAGTAGCTGGGATTACAGGCATGCGCCACCAGGCCTGGTTAATTTTTGTATTTTTAGTAGAGACGGGGTTTCACCGTGTTAGCCAAGATGGTCTTGATCTCCTGACCTCGTGATCCACCGGCTTCGGCCTCCCAAAGTGTTGGGATTACAGGTGTGAGCCACCACGCCCGGCCAACATCTTATTTTTCTTTTAGTGACACATCAAATGATATGTCTTAAAACTGATGATTTCCTAGATTCAATGAAATGTAGTATTTTAAAATCTGGGATAAAACACCAAAAATGCCTTTCTTAAAAATAAAAAAAGATAAATGAATAACAGTAAGACCCAAACACACTATTTCCCAAAGAGGGATAGGCAGGCACAGTATTTACAGGTGTCCAAAAATCTGCCAAAACAGTCAGCCACGTAAACATTTTAAACTTCCATATGCCAAAAAAGAATCATAAACTTCAGAAAATATAGTAACATATAGAAAGATACTTAAGTGTAATATAGAGAGAACTCTTAAAATTGCTACGAAAAACACAAAGAATAATGAAGCAAAAGCAAGACTAGGCATTTGACATGATACAAATGGTCGATAAACATATGAAAGAATTGTTCAACTTAATAGTAAATAAATAAACATTAATGCTAAAAATATTACATTTTTACCTACCAAGCTACCAATTTTTAAAGTAATATTAAGTTAAATTATGTAAAATAACTGATTTAAGAGGCCAAAATGATTGATTTCACATGGTCCAATCTAATAGTCAGGATCAGGGTAGAAAAAACAATGCTTTCACATATTGCTGGAGGATACATAAATTGAACTAACCTTTCTAAATGAGAATTTGGAGAGGTGCTTTTTGGAAATGACAATTTGGAAATGTGCTTTACATCTTTAAAATACTCATATATTTAAATCCAGTGATTCTATTTCTAATAATCTGTTCCAAAAGGTACAAATGCACACATTAATTTTCTTGCAAGGATTTATTAAAATAGGTACTGAGTATTTGTTAAATGTTCAACACAGGGAACTAAGTAAATTATAGTTTGTCCAAAAACTGACTACTATCCAGTCATTAAAAATTATGTACTCAAATATAATATTTAGGATATAGGGTCATGCCCATGTCATAATGTTAGGTAAATATCACAAAATAGAAAATAAAATGTACAGTTTGGCAGTTCCTAAAAAAGTTAAACAAAGCTAATATATGACCCAGTAATTACCTTCCTAGGTATATACCCAAAATGATTAAAAACAGAGACTTAGCTGGGTGCAGTGGCTCACGCCTATAATCCCAGCACTTTGGGAGGCCGAGGCAGGCAGACCACTTGAGATCAGGAGTTCGAGACCAGCCTGGCCAATATGGTGAAAGCCTGTCTCTACTAAAAATATAAAAATTAGCTGGGCATGGTGGCACATGCCTGTAGCCCCAGCTACTTGGAAGGTTGAGATAGGAGAATTGCTTGAACCTGGGAAGCGGAGGCTGCAGTGAGCCGAGATAGTGCCACTGCACTCCTGCCTGGGTGACAGAGCAAGACTCTGTCTCAGACAAAACAAACAAACAAACAAAAAACAGAGACTCAAACATACTTATATGCTAATGTTCACAGCAGCATTATTCACAATATCCAAAAGGTAGAAACAACTCAGGTATCCATCAACAGATGATGGATAAATGAGATATGTACATATATATGAATATTATTTAGCCATAAGAAGGTATGAGGTTTTGATAAATGCTATAATATGGATAAACCTTGAAAACATGAAATAAGTGAAATAAAGCAGATACAAAAGGACACATATGGTATGATTCCACTTATTTGAAATATCTAGAATAGATAAATTCATAGAGCAAAATAGTAGATTAGAGGTTCTAGCAGGTAGAGAGAGAAGGGAATAGGGAGTTATTGCTTAATGGGTAGAGTTTCTGTTTGGGGTGATGAAAATTTTTGGCAATAGTGGTCAAAGTGGCACAACACTGTATATGTACTTAATACCATTGAACTGTACATTTAAAAATGATTAAGATGGCAAATTTAAGTTACATATTTTATCAGAGTAAAAAAGAGGGAGAAGAGCAATTGTTATAGAATAAAAAACACATATGAGACAAAAGGACCACATATAGTATTTAGACTTATTTAGATCCTAATTCAAATACAAGAATTATAAACAGGAAAAAACAAAAAGCATATGATCAAAGAATATTTAAGGATATGGAGTTATGTTATCAAAAGTCAACTAAAATTAAAAGCACAAAATAAAGGCCAGCATGGTGGCTCACACCTGTAATTCTAGCACTTAGGGAGGCCAAGGTGGGATGATCATTTGAGGCCAGGAGTTTGGGACCAGACTGGGCAACATAGTGAGATCCTGCCTCTACAAAAAATTTTAAAACTAGCTGGACATGGTGGTGGGTGCCTGTAATCCGATGAACTTGGGAGGCTGAGGTGAAAGGACCACTTGAGCCCAGGAATTTCAGGCTGTAGTGAGCTAAGATTATGCACTACAGCCCAGCCTGAGTGACAGAATGAGACCTTATCTTTTGAAAAATAAAAACAAGCATAAAACAAAATGTACATTATAATCCTAATTACAATCCTAACGAGGGCCCAGACATTTTCCATCTTTTTAAAAAGCTCCACTGGTATATCACATGCATTGTCCACATAGGAAACTACTCTTCCACCCAACCAACAGATTTATCGAGCGTAGTGAAGAATACAAAGACGCTCAAAACATACTATTACTTATAAGGAACCTAACATCTAGATGAAAACATAAGACACATTCTCATGTCTTTTTAGGGCCCAAAGAGCTATCTATTCAAGCAATCACTATCTGAGCTCAGAGGAAGGAGAAATTACAACAGAACAGAGTATTCCAGAAAAGCTTCCTGGAGGATATAGAACTTGGGGGAAGTAAAAGACTGACCAGAAGTGTTTTTTTTGTGTTTCATTTTTTGAAGTGCAGTCTCCTTCTGTTGCCAGGCTGCAGTGCAGTGGCACAATCTCAGCTCACTGCAACCTCCACCTCCCGGGTTCAAGCGATTCTTCTGTATCAGCCTCCTGAGTAGCTGGGATTACAGGTGCCTGCCACCACGCCCGGCTAGTTTTTTGTATTTTTAGTAGAGATGGGGTTTCACCATGTTGACCAGGCTAGTCTTGAGCTCCTGACCTCAAGTGATCCACCCACCTTGGCCTCCCAAAGTGATGGGATTACAGGAAGTGTTTTGATGAGTAGTTCCATTTTAGACATTTTGCACTTGAAGTGACAGAAGAGTAACCACCTATCGGCAATTAATCTGATGTGAGACACATGTCCCAGAGATGAGACTAAAGACTGGAGAGTAATCAACCCAGAGGTGACGACAGAACCTAGGGGTGTGGTAATGATTTCTGTGAGAGAGAAGTAGAAAACAGAGAGGCCAAGGGAATCCTTAGTATGCCATTACTTAAGCTACAGAAGAAACCAGCTGAGTCCCAAGAGGCAGAGGAACGTTAAGAAACACAGGAGAAAAACAGACTAGCGTAGTCTCTCAGAAGTAAAAGGAAGAGATGGGGCATGGTGGCCCAGGCCTGTAATCCCAGCACTTTGGGAGGCTGAGGTGGGTAGATTGCTTGAGGCCAGGAGTTCAAGACGGACTGGCCAACATGGTGAACCCTGTCTCTACTAAAAATACAAAAATTAGCAGGGCGTGGTGGCGCACACCTGTGACCCCAGCTACTTGGGAGGCTGAGACATGAGAATCACTTGAACCCAAGAGGTACAGGTTGCAGTGAGCTGAGATCGTGCCACTGCATTCCAGCCTGGGTAAGAGAGCAAGACTCTGACTCAAAAAAAAAAAAAAGCCAAGGAAGGTTTAAATGTTAGTTTAAAAAAACTGACCTTTGAATTTCTATACAACCATCAAAGTAGTAACAGAGTGGAGCAGAGATAAAATGGACTTGCAGCTGGCAAACACAAGCTCCAGACCTGCTCTGCCTCTGAAAATCTGACCAGAAGGAAAGTCACAAGCTCTCCGAGCCTCAATTCTAGCTCTACTCATCTTCACAAGCTGTTATGATGAATGGAGGGAAAAAAAATAGAACTGCTGCACAAATGTAAGCATTCATTCATTCGTTTATTCAGCACTGAAACAATTATTGGGCATTGATGATGTTCAGACAGGCAGGTGCTAACAAGCGCTGACAAGTACATGAAACACAGCCCCTGCCGTCCCACACGCTGCAGGGGAATGCCGATCAAGAGGCTGCCTTGGTGATTGCTGAGTGATCAAAAGGCACACAAAGGAGGGAGACAAGTCCTTCAGTAGATGAGATTTGGCCCTGCTTTTTAAAAAATGCTATCAGAACCAGGGAAAATATCTATGATGCCTCGTTTCACATAAACCCGAGGGATACACTCACCTCAGCTATCAACAGCAAAGTGTCTTCTTTGAAGCTGAACCCTTTCATTTTATCTTCAATTTCCTGCTGAGTCCTTAAGTTCCTCTCCAAAGCAAACGATGTTTGCTGAGGTTGGGTAAACTGAAGCAGAAGCCTGAAAAACGGAAAAGTCCCAATGCGTGGCGAAAAGTCCCAACGCTTCCAGATAAAGGAAAGCCGCGAGGAAACGTTCAGAGAGCCCAGGTATTGAGTCCGCTGCGAGTCCCACCAGGTTAAAAAGCAGGTACCCACCCTCACTAGAACTATCATTTCAATCCCTAAAGCTTCCGACTCGGAATCAATTGCCCAACTTTACATTGGAGATTCATCTTTTCTAAAAGATAAAGACTAAAACTGCTCAAAGAAATCTTTACAGGGCAACACGTGAAAAGAGCTTCCAGCCTCAAAAGAGCCTCCTGTGGAAGTCAAGGGATTGAAAGGATGAGTAATTTGGAGTGAAAGGAACGAGCCTCCCAATCAGACTCCTCTCACACAGGCCCTCCGGATTTGCTCCTTTGAAGTCAGTGTTCTGTGACCCTTCCATCTCGCTGACCCCACAGCAACTTGACCGCAAGGACTAATTAGATTCGCTAGCACACTTCAATTACCCCAAGCAGGGCCAAATCTTTGATGACCCTCTGACAACCACTCTGCGATACCTTACCACTGACTTCCCCATCATGATCATATCTGGTCTCCTCTCTCATTTAACTTCCTCCTGTCTTCCTCACTTGGCTCCTTCTGTTTTTTTGTTTTTTGTTTTTGTTTTTTTTTTAATAAATAATATGCAGATCTTCCCCATTTTCTCACTGGTACCTACTGCAATGCCCAGAAGCACTCGACTCTCCATACTGCGGAATGTGCCCGACACTATGCTAGGCATTGAGAGATTTTGATGAGCAAAACACATTTGAGGCCTCATGAAATGGAAGGAGGGAGACAGCACATAAGCATTTCAGGTAGTGACAAGCGCTATGCAAAAAACCCAAGACAGGGTGGACACAGTGTCCTCTTCAGATGCGGCGGTGTAGGCAGGAGGCTTTCCTGAGATACCAGGCAAGCTACGAGCTACCTGATGAGGAACCAGTGGGAGAACATCTGGGGGCGAGGGCTTGGCCAGGGAGAAGGGGGCTCTGACACAGGAACAAACTTGACATGCTTGAAAATCATTAAGATCACTGTGGCTGGAACACAGTCAGAGAGAAAAATGTGTAGTAAATGAGGTGGGGAAAAAAAGGCAGGGCCAATTCAAATCAGACCTTGCAGGCCGTGGCAAGAAACGTGGAACTGACGTAAGAGCAATGGGAAGCCACCGGGGCGTTTCAGAAAGGAGCCTGACCTGACTCACAGGTGAAATGATCATCTGTCTGCTTCAGTCTGACCTGTTGACATCACCTACCCGGCCTCGGGAAGCATTCACCTTTGTGATCCCTTTGATGTAACTTGCTTTCCGCCCTCTGGATATCCTCCAGGCACCTGAGTCTCGGTACTTCAAGCCTAAAATCATTGCCTTCCACCCCAGTTCGGCTCTGCTCATCTTCCCAGGTGTCCTATCTCAGCGAAAGGCACCGCCATCCACCTGTGCGTCCCCAAGAGACTGCAGAGACTCTTCCACTCTCCCACCCTCATCCTTCCCACACACTCCGCTGGTCACCACGTCCTGTCTATTCTATCATGCAGTGATATCCATTTCTTTTTTTTATTACCACTGCACCAGCCTAGGTCAGGCCCTCATCATCTTCCACTAATTAGTCCACAACCTCTAGTCCTTAGCTCCTCCTTCTAATCCAGCATTGCAGTCACTAGAGCTCTCTAAATCACAGGTTTTGGCCAGGCGCGGTGGCTCACACATGTAATCCCAGCACTTTGGGAGGCCGAGGCTGGTGGATCACCTGAGGTGGGGAGTTCGAGACCAGCCTGACCAACATGGAGAAATCCCATCTCCACTAAAAACACAAAATTAGCCGGGCATGGTGGTGCATGCCTGTAATCCCAGCTACTTAGGAAGCTGAGGCAGGAGAATCACTTGAACCCAAGAGGCAGAGGTTGCGGTGAGCCAAGATCACGCCACTGTACTCCAGCCTGGGCAATGAGTGAAACTCCGTCTCAAAAAAAAAAAACCAAACACACACACACACACACACACACACACAGGTCTTATCACATGCTCCTATATTTAAAAAGTGCAAATACTTTTCAGGCCTTCAGCACAAGGACTAAACCCTTGTGACATCGAACATGTTGTGCTAACAATAAAAACAACAAAAATAAAAGTACTAATCTAACGTTTACCAAGCACCTACTACATACAATGCAGGACAATAAGTACTTTAAATACTTTAATTCTACAACCCCAGGAAGCAGGCATTTTCCCCATTTCTCCATCTGTCAAGATTAAGCAGCTAGAGAGCAGAGTTTAAGGAATGTGTGCAAGGTCAGACCGCTGGCAAGAGCCCAGGCGCATCCACTTAGCCTCAGCAATTTACTAAGTTCTTCAAAACCAGTTCTGACGCCAAAGTCCTACTTCCTACTTCCTCTGCCACCCTGGCACTGTGGCCACAGCCTACCTCGAGCCCTTACCACTAGCACTGCTCTTACCCCAGACAATGTGACAAACCTGTTCTAGAACAGATCCTCTGCCCCTCCGGGTGGTGCTTGCTTTCTTTTTACCTAGCACGCCTCTTTCCACATGGGGAATATTAACGCGGAGTGAGCAAGATAAGCTGGAAGAATACAGGGTCGGGAATCGGAGACCAGCTACAAATCCTGGCCCTGCACTTCACAGCTGCACTACTTTGGGAATGATTTTAATAGTTTCCTGGTCCATCAAGTGGGATCCCAATAGGTACCCCAGAGTCATGAGGATTAAAATGAAATAATGTATACACAGCATTTAGCACTCAGTGGTCAACTGACAAGGGTTCCTACCGGGCTCATTCAGCAGAGGCATCACCCCTCTGTAAAGGCTTCCTTCTTTTGGCCACACCAAGAGCTCCCTGACATCGGTCCCCCCAGAATTCTGCTCACAGCACTGATACACTATTTAGCACCTGTGCTGGCAGCTACTGGCTAGACATACCATTTCCCTAAGTCAGTGAGTGGTATAAGGAAAGGGACTGCTTTTTAAATAATCTTTGTGATCCTAGCACCAAGCACATATCTGGCACACAGTTGTCATTCAATGTGCCTCTGAATTAGTGACACGGTCAATGCTAAACAAGCATCCACTGAATACATTTTAAAATTTGCCAAATAGGGTTGGAAACGGTGATTCACTCCTGTAATCCCAGCACTTTGGGAAGCCGAGGCAGGTGGATCACCTGAGGTTAGGAGTTCGAGACCAGCCTGGCCAACACGGTGAAACCCCGTCTCTACTAAAAATACAAAAATTAGCCAGGTGTGGTGGTACACAGCTGTAATCCCAGCTACTCAGGAGGCTGAGGCAAGAGAGCTGCTTGAACCTGGAGACAGAGGTTGCAGTGAGCTGAGATCGCGCCACTGCACTCCAGCCTGGGCAATAAGAGCAAAACTCCATCTCAAAAAAATAATAATAAAATAAAATTTGCCAAATAGATACCACTTCTCAGTAAGCCTATTAATACTTCTTGAATCCTCCTGAGTTGAAAAATCTGTACATTCTTTGGTACCATTTGAAACATGAGAGAATCTGCTTCTTCTCTCATCATTTATAGAAGTGGTCAAGTGTATTCTCCCCACCCTTCCCTCAAACTCTTATACTTTAAGGATGAAAAGTACTTGGTATCCCTAGGCACAAACCATAGGAATTCTCTAGAGAATGAATTAAGCATCATCTACTCCCATTATCAGCAATGCAAACACAAGAGCTGATTTTTTTCTTTAGATTTCTGTGGAACATATAAACAGAAAATTCCTTCTTTAAAATATCTCCTTTCCCTTTTTCAGTGTTTTATACATTTTTATTTTCCTAATTTTTAATGTTTTCTAATCTTAACATTCCATCTTGGGCAATGACACAGGTTATATTGCTTTTTGTTTCTGAGACAGAGTCTCACTCTGTTGCCCAGGCTGGAGTGCTGTGGTATGATCTCAGCTCACTGCAGCCTTGGCCTCCCAGGCTCAATCTTTCCATCTCAGGCTCCCGAGTAACTGGGACTACAGGCATGCACCACCATGCCTGGTTACTTTTTTTTTTTTTTTTTGAGACAGTCTTGCCCTTTCGCCAGCTTGGAATGCAGTGGTGCAATCTCAGTTCACTGCAACCTCCGCCTGGCAGGTTCAGCGATTCCCCTGCCTCCGCCTCCTGAGTAGCTGGGATTACAGGCACGCGCCACCACACCCAGCTAATTTTTTGTATTTTAGTAGAGACAGGGTTTCACCATGTTGGCCAGGCTGGTCTCGATCTCCTGACCTTGTGATCTGCCCACCTCGCCCTCCCAAAGTGCTGGGATTACAGTCGTGAGCCACTGCGCCTAGCCCGCATAGTTAACTTTTAAAAAAAATTTTTTTGTAGAAATGGGATTTCACCATGTTACTCAGGCTGGTCTCAAATTCCTGAGCTCAAATGATCCACCTGCCTCAGCCTCCCAAAATGCTGGGATTACAGGCATGTGCTACCACACCCAGCCACCATAGGTTGTATTCTTAAACAAATGTAGTTTTGTTTCCAAGTATTATATATTAGAATGACAAACGTTCAACACAACCATAGGAAAAATTCAAAAATATATACCAAACGTCTAGCCTAGAACTTTTTGAAGCTTAAAATTAGAAAATAAAGCCTTTACTCTGAGCTCATTGCCAAGTGTTGCTTAAGCGACTCTCAGCTTACCTGGTTCGTATAAAAGAGGCACATGCTTTCAGCTGAGTCTCTATCAACACTGTTTCTCTCTTTTCTGCCATACAGTTTTGGATATTTGTAATAGCTTTCTCATTTTCCTGGCTATTACTGCTATTTGCTTCCACAGGAAATAAAGAGCTCTCAGGCAAGGTTTCAGGAAAACTCAAAAGACAGTCTTTTCCTGCATGTGGAAAGGAGGATTTGATAGTTTTGTCACTTGAGGTGAAACTCTGCTGTTTCTGAGATGACGCAAGTGCTGCTGAAAGAGCTGGCCCCAGATTCAGGTAAGCCTCGGCCAATCTGCCCCAGTTCCAAGGATTAAAAGGATGCAAAGAAATCAGTTTCTGCAGGCAGAAAATTGTTTTCTCCAAGTTCTGCAGACTTGAAAAAATAGCAAGCTGGAGGTAGAGTACCGTGGTTAAATGGTCTGTGTTGGTTGCTTTATTTTCCTAAGGAGAAAAAAAAAGGTTAAGAAGTTTAAACTTCAAAGCATTTTCCATATAAAATGAGAATGCCTAAAAACCCAAGTTGTATATGTTATAAATCAGAAGTATCTTTCAGTAGCTATACGAGTGACCTAAATATATTCCAATACACCTCATGTTTGAAACCATAAACCTAGAGAGATACATGCTATCTAGAGAAATAGTCGCCAGCCATTCTCAAACATCCTAATGTCATAATAACTTAACAATTCCTATGATGGTGGCCTGCCAGAAGTTTGGCATCAAAAACATAAATATCCATTTATGTCCAATTTTTATTATAATCTTTACTGTCTTCAGCCAGATATCTGAAAGACCCAGCCAATTTTCTTAGATTCTGGCCTAATGATTCCACTGTAATATTCAAGGCTTTCTAAAAATTCAAATGGTAATTTCCTTGAGGATTTGAACAAACTTCACTTCCAAATTTTATTTGGCTTAGACATTTTAAACAGGATAGCCCTGAAGCTCTCCATGCTTCATGACGCATTCTAATTGAATCCAAATGCCTTCCCTGGTAACCATTACCAAGGTCAATTATTTTTGGCCAAAAGGGGTTGCTTAGTTTCCTTCTGATCAGAAAATCCTTTTCAAATCTCCTTAACCAGAGCCACCATCTCTTGCCTAACCTGCCATATGGCAAATGTCCTCTGGGTTAGTAAAGACAGGTCTGCTTTTTGTAAGTTAAAGTTTGCAGAGAGCAGATGGCAGACTCAAATTACCTTCAAGTTGATGTGAGGTCTAAGGAAAGCCTGGCCTGCGAGCGTCCAGATGAGGCTCCCTCATAGAACCACACTGAGCATGAAACAGGAGCGAAACTACCTGGTGTACAGTCCCGGAAACTATCCACCAGCAAGTGAAGGCCTGTGGGCAGCTCTAAATATTCCCACACTGAGTGAAGAGATAGGAGATAAAGCCCCATACAACTGATGTGGTGACACTGTACCTTCCCAAAGACAGAACACATCTCGTTTTATTGTTACTACTGTTTAGCATCTGTCCTTCCCAACAGACCATTTAGCTCCATAAGAGCTTTTGTTCAATGTAAATTCCTAGTACAGAGCACAGCTCCTCGGCCATTACAGATGTTAAATCACGTTTGAGTAATGACTTTTCTAAAGTCAAATCATGTCTTTTATTTATAAGGAAAACAACATGTATAGACTACATCTGTAACAAATGTTACCCTTCTTCTCTAATCAGTCTATAGGGCTTTATGTTGTTCAGAAACATTTTTTTTTTTTTTTTTTTTGAGACAGAGTTTCGCTCTCATCGCCCAGGCTGCAGTGCAATGGTGTGATCTCGGCTCACTGCAACTTCTGCCTCCCCGATTCAAGCAATCCTCCTGCCTCAGTCTCTGGAGTAGCTGGGATTACGGGCAGCTGCCACCACACTGGCTAATTTTTGCATAAAGTAGAGATGGAGTTTTGCCATGTTGGCCAGGCTGGTCTCGAACTCCTGACCTCAAGTGATCCATCCGCCTCGGTCTCCGAAAGTGCTGGGGTTACAGGCATGAACCACTGTGCCTGGCCTCAAACACATTTTGATATTGAGAAAGCAAGCATATGTTAAGGTGGAGGCTGTTACTCACAAACTATGACTCTGATGACAGGGTTTTCTTTGTCTGTCTGTCTGTCTGTTTGAGATGGAGTCTTATTCTTTTGCCCAGGCTGGAGTGCAGTGGCGTGATCTCGACTCACTGCAACCTCCGCCTCCCAGGTTCAAGCAGTCCTCCCACCTCAGTCTCCCAAGTAGCTGGGACTACAGGCACCCACCACCAGGCCCAGCGAGTTTTTTAAAATTGTCATTAGGGATGGGGTTTTACCACGTTGGCCAGGCTGGTCTCGACCTCTGGACCTCTGCCCACCTCAGCCTCCCAAAGTGCTGGGAATACAGGCGTGAGCCACCGTGCCCTGTCAATGTTATGGTTTTGAGAGCTGGATTAGTAAACTCCTTTCTGGAAATTAAATTATATTTAGGCTGGGCACGGTGGCTCACGCCTGTAATCCCAGCACTTTGGGAGGCCGAGGCGGGCGGATCACGAGGTCAGGAGATCGAGACCATCCTGGCTAACATGGTGAAACCCCATCTCTACTAGAAATACAAAAAATTAGCCAGGTGTGGTGGTGGGCACCTGTAGTCCCAGCTACTTGAGAAGCTGAGGCAGGAGAACGCCATGAACCCAGGAGGCGGAGCCTGCAGTGAGCTGAGATCGCGCCACTGCACTCCAGCCTTGGCAACAGAGTGAGACTCCATCTCAAAAAAAAAAATATATATATATACACACACACACACATATATACATACATACATACGTACATATATTTAAATGAGTTTGAGTGATTTTCCAGAATACTGCAACTCCTTCTGTAACAATAACATGATAATGACAGTTAACATTTACTGAGTGCTTACCCAGTGCCAGGCACTATTCTAAGTGTTTTCTTCATTTAATCCTCCTGACAATTCTTTAAAATGATTCAATAATTTTCCTTATGTTATAGATAAGGCAACTGGGTCACAGAGAGTGTTAGATAACTTGCCTGGCATAATATGGCTGGTAAGCAGGACAGCTACAGTCAGTTATACTAAAAGTCAAGGAATAAAAGGTACTTAAGAAGAGGTGATATGGCCGGGCAAGGTGGCTCACGCCTGTAATCCTAGCACTTTGGGAAGCTGAGGTGGGTAGATCACTTGAGGTCAGGAGTTTGAGACCAGTCTGGCCAACATAGTGAAACCCCGTCTCTATTAAAAATACAAAAAAAAAGGCCGGGCACAGTGGCTCATGCCTATAATCCTAGTACTTTGGGAGGCTGAGGCAGGTGGACTGCCTGAGTTCAGGAGTTCGAGACCAGCCTGGGCAATATGGTGAAACCCCGTCTCTACTAAAATAAAAAAAAATTAGCCAGGCATGGTAGCGGGCACCTGTAATCCCAGCTACTTGGGAGGCTGAGACCGGAGAATCACTTGAACCCAGGAGGCGGAGGTTGCAGTGAGCCGAGATCACGTCATTGCACTCCAGCCTGGCTGACAGCGGGAGACTCCATCTAAAAAAACAAACAAACAAAAAAAATTAGCTGGGCGTGGTGACACGTGCCTGTAATCCCAGCTACTTGGGAGGCTGAGACAGGAGAATTGCTTGAACCCAGGAGGCGGAGGCTGCAGTGAGCCAAGATCGCACCACTGCGCTCCAGCCTGAGAAACAGAGAAAGACTCCAGCTCAGAAAGAAAAAAAAGAGCTGATATATATACGTGCGCTGATAAACCCACCAGACACTACATGAGCACTGCATGTACATGATGTATTGTTTGTCTCCTTAGCATCAAATCCAGAACCAGGAAAACAGGACTGAAATGTTTGTTGAGTGCTGAGTGGATAAATGAAAAGGAGTCATTTACTACCAGAAAGCCATTTTCTTACCACAGTTACCACGTAAGCATACCAACCACTATAAGAAAATGTTCTAATTATTTAAGACATAAGTTCTATCATAAATTTTATCCAAAAATCATGAAAAGAGGTGAATGAATTTCAGCAGAAATTGTGAACAGAAAATGTTTGTATCTTGATGGGCACCTTGGGACTCTATTTTGTTCAGTGTTACATACTGTGACAGGTCCCCTACAGAATGTGAAAAGACAGTAACTACCGTCACAAAAAACAGATATGGGTCAGAGCTAATACCAAAAGGCAAGGGTCCTCACGTAGAGAAGAAATTTTAAAAAACAAAACAAAACACAGCTTACCAGGAAATGAGAATGCCATGCAGACAGGCAGGGTCCACTGAGATCATGTGCAAAGCACAGAAAGGGGCGAACCCCACGAGCCCACTTTCCACCCGACAGTCCTGCCAACTAGATTGCTGGGATGCCTGATGCACAGTTCTGAAAGTCCAGGATTCTCTGACTGGTGTTTCTCCTGCCTAGTAACCATCCCCAGCACCGGAGACCTGGCATCGGCTGATTGGCAATAGATCCTTCTCTGAGCCACCAAAACAGATTCCCTAAGCTAGAAGGAACCAGAGATGACTCAACCCCTGCCACGAATCCAGCTGCCATTACCTTCAACGATCAAGGCAAAGAGGAGGAAGCACAACAGTGACGTGCAAGAAAGCGGAGAGAGGAGGACAGTAATGAAGGCTAGAGAAAGGCACCAGAAAGGCCAAGAGCATTTGCAGACTGGGGAGACTAGAAATGAACACAATTAAATCCCATCAAGTTAACTGCTCATGCAAATACTTCCTTAACAAGTGATGTATCTTTCAGCTTAAGCATTAACCCCCAATTAGTAGAGAACAGAAAAGAAAGAACAAAACACAGCTGTTTCCCTTGTTCTTAGAACAATTACTGCCAAAGTTTCCTTGCAAGAGACGGAGGTCCTATGCTGTGAAGCCCTAAGCAAGCAAAGGTTAGAGATTTCTCTTAGTTAATGAGACGGCAGATGTCAGCTCAATTGTGTGCATATGTTAGGTTGATCGCTGGGCGGTACATCCAGACCTCAAAATCAGTGCCATAGTGTCTCCTTAATTCCCTCCGAGGAAGAAAACTAGTCCATTTAGACTAATTCCCATATAAAATTTACACAAAAATCAATACAAATAATGCCTTAACCTAGAAACAAAAGCAATAGAATCTAGAATTGGAAAGCACTGCCTTTCTGTATCCCTTAAAAAAAAAAATTCCGCTTCAGAATGTGTGGAAAAAGGCAATAAAACTTTTTTTAAAGAAAAAAAAATGCCGAGTGCAGTGGCTCACACCTATAATCCCAGCATTTTGGGAGGCCGAGGCGGGCGGATCACAAGGTCAGGAGTTCACAAGGTCACCAGCCTAACATGGTGAAACCCCTTCTCTACTAAAAATACAAAAATTAGCTAGGCGTGGTGGCGGGTGCCTGTAATCCCAGCTACTCAGGAGGCTGAGGCAGGAGAATTGCCTTAATCAGGAGGCGGAGGTTGTGATGAGCCAAGATCGCGCCACTGCACTCCAGCCTGGGCAACAGAGTGAGGCTCTGCCTCAAAAAAACCAATAAAAAAGAAAGAAAATTCGCTCTTTTTCTTCAGTGAGGCTGCCAAGCTCCAGACGCAGAGATGCAGACCTTTGTGAAGACCCTCACAGGCAAGACCTTTGAGATCGAGCCCAGTGACACCACTGAGAATGTCAACGCCAAAATTCAAGACAAGGAGGGCATCCCACCTGACCAGCAGCATCTGATACTTGCGGGCAAACAGCTGGAGGATGGCTGCACTCTCTCAGACTACAACAGCCAGAAAGAGCCCACTCTGCACCTGGTGCTGCGCCTGCAAGGTGGCATTACTGAACCTTCCCTCCGCCAGTTCGCCCAGAAATACAACCGCAACAACATGATCTGCCACAAGTGCTGTGCCCGCCTGCACCCCGCTGTCAACTGTGCTGTCAACTGCCACAAGAAGGGCGGCCAAACCAACAACCTGTGCCCTAAGAAGGCCAAAGAAGGCTCTTCTTTCCCCCAGACAGCAGCCTCCTGCCCAGGCCCCATGGCCCTGGGGCCTCAATAAAGTGTCCCTTTTGTTGATTGGGGAAAAGAAAAAAGAAAAAAAAATTCTGCAAATTTCACTTAAAAATAAAAAGGACTCTTAAGTGTGGCTTGGTATGAGTATTTAGTCATTTTTGTGGGGGGGACCTTTTTTGTGCTTAGAAAAATATATGTTCATTGTAGAAATTTTGGAGAACAAAGTCTAAAAACAATCTAATGAAGAAAACAGATCACTCATAGTCCTTCCACACTGAATGTTACTCCTAACAAGAGAAAAACCTCTGCAAAGGAGATTTTCAGGCAATAAAGAATTTTGAGAATGACACAAGAAAAGTATTACAAGAAAATGATTATGCCTAGGTTCTAAGTTGGTCATCATAATAAAACTCTCACACCCCTGACAATTTTCTTCTGCTTATCCAAACCCATAGATTTTGCTACTAGCAAGAAGTTTGTTTTGTTTTCAAAAAATACACCATTTGACCACCCTTATAGAAATATGTGTGAAAATCAGCAATAAAATCACTCACCAAGTTTGCAGCAATCTCCAGCGCTTCCATATGCCTACCCAGGTGAGCCAGACACCGAGCCTGACCTTCCTGGACATCCCTTTTCATGGCAAAATTGGTTGGTGACAATTTTTCAGAGATACTGGAATACTCCTGCAGTGCTTTCTGGAAATTATTTGTTAAATAAAGGAATGAAAGGAGGAAAACACAACAGAAAAAAGGATTCAGAATGGGGTGATTTTTTTTTGTAGGTGGAAAGTAATGTTATTTAACTGACCAATGAATTAAATGAATATTTAAATGAATTAAAGAAGATTTCAGCATTCTAGTGATATGGTTTGGCTGTGTCCCCACCCAAATCTCATCTTAAATTGCAGCTCCCATAACCCCCACACGTCGTGGGAGGGATCTGGTGGGAGGTAACTGAATCATGGGGTGGGTTTTTCCCATGCTGTTCTCATGGTAGTTAGTAAGTCTCAAGATATCTGATGGTTTTACGAAAGGCAGTTCCCCTGCACATGCTCTCTTTGCCTGCTGCCATGTAAGATATGACTTTGCTCCTCCTTCACCTTCTGCCATGATTGTGAGGCCGCCTCAGCCATGTGATTAAACCTCTTTTTTTTTTTTTTAAATAAATTATCTAGTCTTGGGTATTTCTTCACAGCAGAATGAAAATGGACTAATACATCTAGTCAATCCTATTTTCCTAAAAGGTAGAGAAGGAATGGCCAGAGAAAATAATCACTACTACTATGGAAAGAATCATGACATAGTAGAAAGAACATTCTGAGACCAAATATACCAGGCTTTGAATTCTGGTTTTGCCACTAACTTACTTTATAACCTTTTCATGAGCAAAATAAAAACAGGATTCTCATGAAGATGAAATGAGATACATGTGTAACGCAATCTAACATCTAGTTGTTAGTTCTTCCTTTTTCCTACACATCTTGGGGTGATTTGCTCCTGTGGCACTGTGAAATATCTTTGCTAGAGGGTCCTAAGTAATAAGGAGATACAAAACCTTGGGGAATAAACCTACAAGGACCCCAAATAGATCCTTTTGTTGGAGTTACAGGAAACAAACAAACCATACAGAGCCAAGCAGAAAAGGACAGAAACGGGCACCTCGATTACAAACACACATCACAAAAGGTTAAATTCATCTTCATAAATACCACACTAACTTGGCACACTGTTATTTGCATATGCCATAATTGATAAAACAAGAGCCCACTTCAAGCACTGCCATCTTCTTTTTTTTTTTTTTTTTTTTGAGACGGAGTCTTGCTCTGTCGCCCAGGCTGGAGTGCAGTGGCCGGATCTCAGCTCACTCCAAGCTCCGCCTCCCGGGTTTACGCCATTCTCCTGCCTCAGCCTCCCGAGTAGCTGGAACTACAGGCGCCCGCCACCTCGCCCGGCTAGTTTTTTGTACTTTTTAGTAGAGATGGGGTTTCACCGTGTTCGCCAGGATGGTCTCGATCTCCTGACCTCGTGATCCACCCGTCTCGGCCTCCCAAAGTGCTGGGATTACAGGCGTGAGCCACCGCGCCGGCCAGCACTGCCATCTTCTATATGTTGAATTCTACCTGATACTCTTGTCGTCTGTAAGCCAGGTCTCCTTTGAATTTCTTGAGAGTCAGCACTTCAACATCATCACTGCTTTCTGTTTCTTCATAAAACCACTTGAAATCATGAAAACAGTCTATTAGAGAGTGAAGCTATGCTTTTCTACCTCATATCAGAAGCAATTTCCCATAATATAATTGATTAAATCTCAAAGACTTCTTCAAGATGAGACTCAGGAGAAACACACTGACAAAGAACGAACATTTTAATTAGGGCTCCATTTTTATTAAAATGATCACAAGCTGCTCAGGTGCAGTGGCTTACACCTGCAATTCTAGCACTTTGGGAGGCCCAGGTGGGTAGGCTGCTTGATGCCAGGAGTCTGACACCAGTCTGGGCAACATAGCGAGAGAAAGACCCTATGTCTACAAAATATTTAAAAATTAGCTGGGCAGGCCAGGCACAGTGGCTCACACCTATAATCCTAGCGCTTTTGGAGGGCGAGGCTGGTGGATAGCTTAAGCCCAGGAGTTCAAGACCAGCATGGACATGGCAAAACCCTGTCTCTACTGCAAATACAAAAATTAGCTAGGCGTGGTGGCACGCACCTGTAATCCCAGCTACTTGGGAGGCTGAGGCAGGAGAATTGCTTGAACCCGGGAGGTGGAGGTTGCAGTGAGCAGAGATCATCCCACTGCACCCCAGCTTGGGCGACAGAGCAAGACTGTCTCAAAAAAAAAAAAAAAAAAAATTGGCTGGGCATGGTGGCATGCACCTGTAGTCCCAGCTGCTCAGGAAGCTGAGGTGGGAGGATTGCTTGAGCCCAGGAGTCTAAGACCAGCCTGGGCAACAGAGGGAGACCTCATTTCTACAAAAAAAAAAAAAAAAAAAGAGCTGGATGTGGGATGTGGTTACTTGGGAGGCTGAGGTGGGAGAACTGCTTGGGAGTCTGGGACTCGGAGACTATGGTAAGCTGTGTTCAGGTCACAGCACTCTAGCCAGGGCAACAGAGTGAGACCCTGTCTCAACTAAAAATATATTTAATAAGTAAAAAAAAAAATTATCACAGGTAATAAGCGCAACAATAATATGATACCTCTCTAGAAAAGCAGCACACAACTGTATGATTTTATCTACAGCATTTTCAATGCATAGGGCTGTGGTGCCTGGGAACCTACTACATTTATCTAGCATAGTTCACACTAGTTCTTTACTTTATTATGTATTTTTTTTTTTGAGAGAGTCTCACCCTGTTGCCCAGGCTGGAGTGCAGTAGTATGATCTCAGCTCAACTTCTACTTCCTGGGTTCAAGCAATTCTCATGCCTGGGCCTCCCAAGTAGCTGGTATTACAGGTGCGTGCCACCACACCCAGTTAATTTCTATATTTTTTTTTTTTTGTAGAGATAGGGTTTCACCATGTTGGCCAGGTTGGTCTCGAACTCGTGAGCACAAGTGATCCTCCTGCCTCGGCCCACCTTGGCCTTCCAAAGTGTGTGAGCCACCGCATCCAGGCCACATTGGTTCTTTAAAATGAGACATGCTTTCTTGTAGAGAAATTTTAGTGTGACTGGAATAGGGATTGACAATTCTTTACTGAAAGGACATAGGAAAGAAGAATTATAGATATGGTGCAATTATGAAAATGTCATATGGCAAAAAACTAGAATTTCAGCAAAGGAGACAGAAATTAAGGCTAGACGGAGGCTCCAATGCAATGAAATACCAAAAACCTGTAGGAGAGAAGTCTGAGAAAATGCCCATCTGGGATACTTTATTTGCTTTTCTTTTCTTTTCTTTTCTTTTTGAGACGGAGTCTCCCTCTGTCACCCAGGTTGGAGTGCAGTGGCCCGATCTCAGCTCACTGCAAGCTCTGCCTCCCGGGTTTACACCATTCTCCTGCCTCAGCCTCCCTAGTAGCTGGGACTACAGGCACCCGCCACCTCGCCTGGCTAGTTTTTTGTATTTTTTAGTAGAGACGGGGTTTCACCGTGTTAGCCAGGATGGTCTCGATCTCCTGACCTTGTGATCCGCCCGTCTCGGCCTCCCAAAGTGCTGGGATTACAGGCTTGAGTCACCGCGCCCGGCCTTTATTTGCTTTTCTACTGATTTAAATCCTATGGATAAAAAGGAAAGTGAGACTGAGATTGTTTGACTATTGAATAAATAATATACGGAAAGGCAGTGGCTTACACCTATAATCCCAGCACTCTGGGAGGCCAAGGCGGGCAGATCACTTGAGGTTAGGAGTTCAAGACCAGCCAGGATAACAACAGTAGAGAAACTCTGTCTCTACTAAAAATACAAAATTAGGCCAGCATGGTGGCATACGTCTGTAATCCCAGCTAGTTCCGAGGCTGAAGCAGGAGAATCGCTTGAACCCGGGAGGTGGAGGCTGCGGTGAGCCGAGATCGCGCCATTGCACTCCAGCCTGGGCGACAAACTCCACCTCAAAAAAAAAAAAAAAGGAAAAAAAAAGAAAAAAATCACTTGACTTTAGAATTTGTGTTAAATTCTATGCACCTGTACAGCACATCAGACCTGACAAAAGTATTTTCATATACATCGTCTCATTTCACTCTCACAATAACTCTGTGAGGCAGCATGTATTATTTTTCTGAAGGGACAAATAAGGAGCTGACACCTTCAAGGCAAGTGGTAAACCCAATATTGGAATTCAAGAGTCCTATCTCATAACCAGTTTTTTAATGTTCTGCCACGTGGTTTCCAAGCCCATTCCGTTTTGAGTCCACGTAATCCAGGGCTGAAGGTAACTTTGAAAGATCGTTATGTGATAAGGAGAAAAAGTAACTGAAATAACCAAAAACATAATTCGGTAATTATCGAGGGCCTGGCATCTTGTCAGTACAATTGTGAGGAACGAAAGAGACAATATATGCGAAGGAACCCACCACTGTGCCCGGAACACTTCCGTATTTTCCATAAACATTAGTTTTGACTGATGAGCTATTTACACTCATGAAAGAATAGGAAGTAATACTGTACTAATTCAAAAATATTCGCGGAGTCCCTATTATGAATAAAAACTGTTAGGCACTGCCAAGGGCATCAAGAACCCACGCTGGTGCGATCATTTAGCACTCCGGGTCTCAGGACTGCATGAGAATACTGACAAGTGCTTTAAGTAGAAGCTAAATAGAGGGAAGGGAGCCAAAGACGAAAATATTTGGCTGGAAGACGAAATCGGAAAAGACTTTCTGGAGGAGGTGACATTTAAGATGTGCCTTGAAAAACGAATATAACAGCGCGGGGTTGGTACGGGCAGGGGGAGCTCGCTGAAGAGGGAGGGGCGAGTGGGTATGCCTGACTTCACCGTTCTGGGGGGCCTGACCGCCCGGCTGTAGGAGTAGTGAAGGCAAATGGGAGGTACCGGAGATTTCAGGGCAGGGGCGTTAGTTCAGCCGGCAACAGCCAGGCCGGCCAAATGCCAGGTGGGAGTCAAGCTGCTGACAACGCGGGGATTCTCGCCCATGGACCCGGAATGGGGCCTGGGAAGTCCGCTTCCTCGTGTAGGGTGAGGGACGGCGGGGAGGCGGTGGGCGCTGGAGCCGGTCAGGGTTTGCGTTCGCGCGGGCGGACGGGCCGGGGACTCCCGGAGGGCGAGGCCTGGGGTGCCGGATGAGTCAAAGAGGCCCCAGCTTCTCACCTGCGGCTCGCAGAGCTTGGCGCAGTAGGACGCGGGCGGTCCTGACCGCCGCTTCGGCCTCTCCTCGAACACAGAGTCCTCGAACTCGCCGCCGAACAACCAGCACCCGGTATCCATCGCGCGCCCGCGGCCGGGGCAACGAGGAGGCGGGGCCCGCCGGAAAAGGCGGGGCTTCCACGGCCCAGAGCGCGGCAGGCTGGGACTTGTAGTCTTCGCGGGCGACGCGGGGATGTGGCCGCTGCTGGCTGGGAGTAGTGGTTGAGCTGAGATGATTATCTGACCCATTAACTGACCGAACCCCAGGACGGAGGTTTTGACTTCTTGTCAGGAGATGAACAGAACAATCCCTTACCAGCACGCCTCGAAAAGCACGCTGGCCCCAGAGTAGCTGTTTAAAACTCGCAGGTACCTTTTTAAAAATTAAAATAAAAGGCTGGGCGCGGTGGCTCACGCCTGTAATCCCAGCACTTTGGGAGGCCAAGGTGGGCGGATCACCTGAGGTCGGGAGTTCGAGACCAGCCTGACCAACATGGAGTAACCCAGTCTCTACTGAAAATACACAAAGTAGTCGGGCATGGTGGCGCGTGCCTGTAATCCCAGCCACTTGGGAGGCTGAGGCAAGAGAATCGCTTGAACCCGGGAGGCGGAGATTGCGGTGAGCCGAGATCGCATCATTGCACTCCAGCCTGGGCAACAAGAGTGAAACTCCGTCTCAAAATAAAAAATAAAATAAAATAAAACAATTTTGAGACAGGGTCTCACTCTGTCACCCAGGTTGGAGTGCAATGGCGAGATCATGACTCACTGCAGCCTCGAACTCCCGGACTCAACCGATCATCCTGCCTCAGTCCCCTAAGTAGCTGGGGCTACAGGGGCGTGCCACCACGCCTGGCTAACTTTTGTATTTTTTGTGGAGACTGGGTTTCATTACGTTGCCCAGGCTGGTCTTGAACTCCTGATCTAAAGCGATCCGCCCACCTCGTCCTCCCAAAGTGCTGGGATTATAGGAGTGAGCCACTGCGCCCGGTGCAACTACCAATTTTTAACCACTGTGCATTCCTGGCACTGTGTTAAGCACATTTTCTCTTTTCGGCTAACGACCACCTTGTGAAAGCCACAGTGATTCCCATTTTGCAAATCCTATTTTGAAGATATTGGAGTTTGGAGAGGTTAAGTAACTTGTTAAGTTTCAGTCATTACGTGGCTGAAAGTTGGGAAATACAGAAATGAGTTCGTACTCTCCGTGCTTCCGGACAAGAGACACTACCATCAATAACAAAAGACCGGAGTCATTCATGCATTTATGAAAGAAAAAACACAGAAATATACCGTGGGAGGCTAGATCAGGGAGCATTCTTTCGACCCTGGAGAACACCAAATCTCAAAATTCTAAGACTAACATTTACTACAATTCTTTTTTTTTTTTTTTTTTTTGAGACGGAGTCTTGCTCTGTCGCCCAGGCTGGGGTGCAGTGGCCGGATCTCAGCTCACTGCAAGCTCCGCCTCCCGGGTTTACGCCATTCTCCTGCCTCAGCCTCCCGAGTAGCTGGGACTACAGGCGCCCGCCACTGCGCCCGGCTAATTTTTTCTATTTTTAGTAGAGACGGGGTTTCACCATGGTCTCGATCTCCTGACCTTGTGATCCGCCCGCCTCGGCCTCCCAAAGTGCTGGGATTACAGGCGTGAGCCACCGCGCCTGGCCCGGCCTACAATTCTTATACTTTAGCCTCTAGAAAGCAGAGATTGTTGACAAAATATTGGCCAGTATCGTACAGCACAATATTGTGCCATATTACACGGTAGGTAATAAACATACAGGTTTTCCCTATTTTTTTCCTATTCCTCTTCACTCTCACCAGTTTCTCTTACACTATTTATCTGTCTTTCAGAGTTCTTTTTTAAAATTTTATTTTATTTGTTTATTTATTTCTGAGACAGGGCCTCGTTCTGTCGCCCAGGTCGGAGTGCAGAAGCGCGATTTCGACTCATTACATCCTCAACCTCCTGGGCTCAAGTCATCCTCCCACCTCAGCCTCCCGCGGGTCACCACACGCAGCTATTTTTTTTTATTTTCAGTAGAGAGGGGTTCTTTCATGTTGACCAGGTTCATCCGTCTTTCTTCAACCCAACTTTTTCCTCCACAAACTCACCTAATCCACTCCCCTAGGTGTCAGAATCCATCTCTCTGCTAATTATTGCCAAAATCTAGAACCAGCTCATTTATCCAGCAGCCTGGGGTGGGAGGCTCCACCTGAACAGCCTCCAGGTATTAGCTACTGATGAATTAATTCATCAAGATCCGTTTAAAAAATTTTTCTGGCCCGGAGTGGTGGCTCACGCCTGTAATCCTAGCACTTTGGGAGGCTGAGGCCGGCGGATCACCCGAGGTCGGGAGTTTGAGACCAGCCTGGCAAACATGGAGAAACCCCTTCTCTACTAAAAATACAAAATTAGCAGGGTGTGGTGGCGCATGCCTGTAATCCCAGCTACTTCGGAGGTTGAGGCAGGAGAATCCCTTGAACTCGGTGGGTGGAGATTGCGGTGAGCCGAGATCACACCATTGCACTCCAGCCTGGGCAACCAGAGCGAAACTCCGTCTCAAATAAAAAGAAAAAACAAAAACAAAAAAAACATATTTCTGCTGAAACAGGAAGTGTTAGGGTGCTTACGGATAAAAGGTAGTTCTTTGCCCTTTAGACTCAGGATTCCTGGGCTCGGGTGTTTCCAGCCTTTTTACCACTAATGACCCTTTCAGTTTCTCCCTGAAAGTTGTGGAGGATTTCTGTATAAAACTGCATTTATTAACTAATAATTATTTTATTTTTCCTTTAAAAAATAGAATCCAGATCGTATATAACAGCCAATCCAAACTTCTACCCAGCCTAAGTCTACCAGCATTGCCTCACTGTACATTAGAATTCCACTTGAAAGCAAAGCAGCAGCTGTTAGGGCCCTGGGAAGCCTGAAGAAAGGTAAAATATGATTAGCATCGGACCTCTGGCAATAATGAAAACACTTCAAAGACTCCTATCACTACTGAGGACCCGGGGTCTGGGACCCCAAGTTACACACCTCTGCCTCATTTGATAGAGAGGCGCTAGGGTAATGTCATTTTAAAAAAGTAAACCAATAAAATAGAAGGGCATTATATGCTCTGTAACTGTTAAATCCACCTCATACACTAAGGAAATGCCAAGTGTTAGGCAGTGTTAGGAAACTAGAATTCTGCAAGTATCTAAAATTGTGTGGTTGCGATTAAAACCTGTTTCTGTAGACTTTTATCTATAAAAATCTGATTTTTGATTGAGGTGACTGAGTTCCCTATCACAAGGTAACCACCACCTCCTCCAGGCAGCCATCCTTCTTTCCTGTAATTCTTCCATGCTTCTATCTATCCACGGTGGCATTTAGCACTCTGTGGACTGTTGGAGGTTAGAGGTGGTGTCTTTTTCAATCTTGTCAACTCAGCCCCCAGTCAGGGATTAGCTCAGACCACTGCAATAAATGTGTTTGATTTATGGAGATCCAAATCCTGTTGAATGGATGGGTGAATGGGTAAATAAAAGAAAGGAGCTGGGAAAGGTGGCTCATGCCTGTAATCCCAGCACTTTTTGGGAGGCTGAGGCGGGCAAATCACCTGAGATAGGGAGTTCAAGACCAGTGTGACCAACATGGAGAAACCTTGTCTCTACTAAAAATACAAAATTAGCCAGGCGTGGTGGCGCATGCCTGTAATCCCAGCTTCTTGGGAGGCTTAGGCAGATAATCGCTTGAACCCGGGAGGAGGTTGTGGTGAGCTGAGATCGCACCATTGCACTCCAGCCTAGGCAACAAGAGCGAAACGACGTCTCAAAAAAAGAGAGAGCGAGAACCAGGAAATGGCAAAAGGAGCAGAAGAGCACTTCTCAGTTCTAAGTCAGAAGTTCATGTCCTATCTACAAGTAGGGGAGGGAAAGAACCAACATTTACTGAGCATCTATAATGAGGTCATGCTATGGGCACCCTATTATTTTTATTTATTCTCATAATCTCTCTGAGTTTAGATGTTATTATTCCCATTTTTACAGATAAGGAAATATTAATAGGATCTGAGCGGTAACTTGTCCAAAGTCCCAGGTAGTGAGTAGATCAGTTCAAAGTCAACTTTATTTGACATGTTGTTAAATATCCCCCCAAAACAAAATGGCAGAGCTTCATGAAGACGTGGAGAACCATGTCTGTCACTGGCTGGTTCTGCCTGCCCCATATTCTAGCGCCTTAGGTACTCTCATTTCTTCTGTGTGTCTAGGCAGAGTGACTTCTCTGCCTTGTTTGTACACATCCCAAACACGGCCTCTCCAGCTTGGGCTTACCACAGAGCTACATTAATTAAAACAATGTGGTACTGGCATAAGGATAGAAATATCAACCAATGGAACAGAACTAACAGTTCAGAGGTAAACCTTCACACATTTATAGCCAATTGGTTTTTGACAAGGGTCCCAAGTCCATTCAATGGGGGAAAGAATAATTGCTTCAACAGATGATGCTGGGACAACTGGATTACCACATGCAAAAGAATGAAGTTGGACCCCTGTCTCACACCATATTAAGAAATTAACTCAAAATGGATTAATGACCTAAATATAAGAGCTAAAATCATAAAACCCTTAGAAGAAAATTATTCATGACCTTGAATTTGGTAATTTTTTTTTTTTTTTCTGAGACAGAGTCTCGGTTTATCACCCAGACTGGAGTGCAGTGGAGATCTCAGCTCACTGCAACCTCCACCTCCTGGGTTCAAGTGATTCTCCTGCCTTAGCCTACTGAGTAGCTGGGATTACAGGAGTGTGCCATCATATCCAGCTAATTTTTTTGTATTTGTAGAGATGGGGTTTTGCCATGTTGGCCAGGCTGGTCTTGAACTCCTGACCTCAGGTGATCCACCTGCCTTGGCCTCCCAAAGCGTTGGGACTATAGGTATGAGCCACCGCGCCCAGCCTGGTAATAGATTCTTAGATATGACACCAAAAGCACACAAGCAACAACAACAAAAATAGATAAACTGGGCTCCAGAAAACTTAAAACTTTTTGTGTATCAAAGGACATTATCAAGAAAATGAAAATACAGCCTACAGAATGAGAAAAATACAGTTAATTCTCATTATTCAGTTATTACATTCTATAAAGTCACACTGAATTAGCAAATCCTGAATACACGCTCCGAGGGTTAGGGTCCTGCAAGCCTCTGGTCACAATATATTTATCAAACAATCAAAACATCACCATGTTTTGTATTTTTCTGTTTAAAGACCCCTTTTTTTTTGAGACAGAGTCTCGCTCTGTTGCCCA